ATACTCGCATGTCACTTAAATAACTCGAATGTGAAAATAACTTAATTTCACATTAAACTTGATTGAGTACTTAAACTCAAAACATGCTTAACTTTTTCCAACATCATCAACATGATTTATAAACTCATCTTGATCTTTTACTCAATCAAATACTTAATTCATCATACATCATATCTCCCAAATTTTAAATATTAGCTTATATTAAATTTTCACTTAATTAACTTGAAAGTGAAAATAAACTCAAGTCCTACTTCAACTTTTAATCATAACATTTAATCATGATATTAATATGTCATACTTAATACAATCTTTATGAGATTATATACTCAACATATTAAACTAAAACTTTGCCAAATTGCTCATCACTTATATGAGAATTGATCATAATAATCTCACTTTAATAACTTGATCATATCATGAATATTCTTGCATATATACTCATCTTTACATATATGCCTTGTAATTATCATAACTCATTCATTTCTCATCTTCAAATCATGAAATTTAACAGTCATATTCTTAACTCATATTTAGACATGTCCTAAAAATTTCATAATTTTATCATGCATATATCTCGACTTATTCAAGTTTAAAGTTGCTGCTGGAAACAAGTACATAAAATTCAGCTTGCATGATAAACTTTAAAAATTCATATCTTGAGTTATACTAAACTAAATGACTTGATTCTTGACCTTATGTACTCCTATTTTACCCAAGAAATAACCATAGGAAGCATAGATTTCCAGATTTTTCATAGCTAGGTATAAATCTCATCATAACTGAACACATATGACATATATATGAGCTGGAAATAACTTATATTCTAGCATGCTTATATTCATATAAAACTTTAATATCTAAGTCATATAAAAACATTATTAAACACTTAATATCATCTACTAAACATGTAAACTCATTATCAAAACATGAACTTAAGCATGTAACTTTTAAGATAAGTAAATTACCTCCTTCTTGCTAGAGTAAAACTTGATTATTTACTTCAAATTCTTCACTTCTCCAAAGTTTCTACTACTTATTCTCTCTTACACTCTTATATAACTTTTGGTACTTATCTTTGGTGTAAGAACTCTGATTTTTAGGCCTCTATTTATAGGCATAAATTAGCAAGACATCATAATGGAGTGAAGAAATGAACAAAATAAACAATTTAAACTTATAAACTTAATTAATCATAAACTATTTTATGATTAACTTGTATTCTTATCATAACATAATTAATCATCAAAAATGGCTCTAGTTATAGCCATGAATGAGCTTTTTGGTAGATAAAACTTATTCCACCAAGTTTAATAAAATTTTCACCAATTGTTGAAAAAAAATGCTAACTTAAAGACTTAGCAAAACTTTGTTGTGATTTTCTCATCTCATTCTCACCAATTTATGAACAAAATTTCGTGCTTAATGTCATGTAAATAATTCCATATATTATTGTAAAAATATCACAATTCATCATATAAAAATCTTTGAAACAAAATAATAAAAATCATCCTTTTTTATTACTTATGCATTTTCTTTCAAAATGGATGATTTTTAAAACTCTTTTACTGAAAAGTAATGCTCATATATGGTCTTGGATCATGCTAATAAACCGAGAATAACACAATTTACGGAACCCAATTCGGACTTAAAACGATCGTTTACCGTAAAACTGAAAATTCTAAAATTTAAATTCTTTACTCAAAGTTTTTCTTCAATTTAATGAACATATTGCTTCTTAGGATCTAATATAATTATTCTATATTTACGGAACCACATTCGGACTCAAACCGAACGATTACCGTAAAACCGAAAATTCTAAAAATTTCGGTTTCTCTTAAAATAATTAAAATAGACTATAATGTCTAAATAAAATTTCTCACTTGAACATTTATCACTTAAATGTTCATGGATACTTAACCGCACTTCGAGACTTAACTTGTATCAACTTATGCTAAGGCTCGATATTATGATCTTATCTTGATGACTTAAACACTTAGAAAAATTCTAAGTATTTAGTACTAAGGCTCGGCTATTTCTTAATTAAGTTCAACTCATGACCGAACATACTTGGGTTCAGTTCACTACTTATCTTAAAGGATTAATCAAAATATACTTAATTTCGATTATTTGTTATCTTATATTAATTAATCCCGTCTTATAAATCCATTTCTAAAAATAAACAGACCGAAATTAATTAATTACTGAACTGGCTCGATTACTGAATAAAATTTAACCGAGAATAATTTTGACTTAAAGTCGAACTTTTAACTGAATAACATAATAACTGGCTCGGAACTAGGAACGAGCATTATTAATAAAAGTAATTAGTTCAAACTTAGAATAATTATTTTTATTAATTACTGAATGGGATATTACAACGAGTGAGCTGGAGAAAGACGGCGGAGGGACGACGACGGCGGCGACGGATGTGTGGTGGCGGATTGATGGTGGTGGGCCGTGAATGTGTGTATGTGTGTGTCGATTTTTATCTGCGTGAGGAGAGAGCAAGCAATTGAGCTGTTGAGAGTGGGCGGAGGAGAGGTGGCGGTGGCGGACTGGAGATGGCAGCGACGGACGGGCGTCGGACTGTGATTGTGTGTGTGTGTGTGTCGATTTCGTTGTGTGTGTGTGTATGCGTATGAGTGTGTGTATGAAAGAGAGAGGGTGGGGTGGGGTAGGGTGGCGTGGCTTGTGGGTTAGTGTGTTTAGTTGGCAAGTGCATTAATTTGGGATGGGGTCCACTCTCTGAGTGTGGTGTGGAAAATACCACAATGCCCTTAATGAAGATATAATTTTGACTTCTTTTAGCCATTAGATCATTCGATCTAATGGCTATGGTTTATTCTCATTTCTTTCAGTGAGCACTATTTTCATGTGATCGCGACCCCATACATATACATATATATATATATATATATATATATAGGGTCGCGCTCCAGTGAGAATGGTTCTCAATGAAAGAAATAAGAATACATCGTGACCATTAGATCGTACAATCCAACAGCTAAAAAAATGCCGATTTCTCATACTCATTAAGGGTAAATCAGTCATTACAACGTACTAAATCACCAAGCTAATAATGGGCCTCACCAAAACTCACCTTACACCCACCAACCCATTCCATCTCGGTCACGTGTACCCTCTCCCTCTCCCTCTCTCTCTCTCTCTCTCTCTCTCTCACACACACACACACACAAAACACCAAAACACAGACTGCAACAAAAAAACTGTAACGCCCCACTTTGATTTTAAAGAAATTTCGGACTTTCAAAAAAATCATAATAAATTTCAAAATTTATTTCAAACATTTGTAGTGTTACTCATTTATTTCAAATCCATAAATTCTCAAAACGGGATTCGTAAATCCATAAATTCTCAATTCACCCAAAACGGGTTACCAAAATAAATCTCAAGTTTTAAGACATGACAATGTCAACGGGGCATCTCCCTAATACTATCTCAATACTTCATAAATTCTCAAAGTTCGAAAAATGCATAATTCATAAATAGTCATAAATATAGCAGAAGCAAAATCAATTAATAACTGGTCTCATGGACCGACTACCACTCGCTCTACTCCGTCGTCGTACCCGCCTTGTTTAACCTGAAACGTGAATTTCAGGTGGGGATGAGCACAGTTGGAAATCGTAGGGCTCACCACTATGCAATAAACATTTTCATAACGTAAACAGAAATTATGATCACATCATGTATAAGAATCAATCAAGTATCCCCAAATTTTCATCATAAATTCACAGTGTTCAGACTCATGTGCACATCTATACCGATAGACTACTGCCGGTAGATGTATCGAAGGCCCTCGCTCGGGTCATACTTTGAAGGCCCCATGGGCTCTACATCTATGCCCTCCGGTCTTACACACCGAATCGCCCCATGGGTTTCCATCGATGCCCAGTCAGTAGGAGTAACCCCTCGGGTTTATTTTCATAAATACGGGACAAGCGTTCGACGGCCGGTACAGCTCACATCGAAGGCTACATGATTCGTAATCATACATTGATCATCACAAGTAAGGTAAACAATTTATTGCATAGACAATTTTAATAAAGCCGGTAAGTGAAGACCAACAAGATGCTAAAATTGAACAGTAGATTTGAGGGTTCGACTCCTCAGGAACCTACATTAAATCAAGATAATTTTTTCTAAGTAAATTATCTCGATAACTCAGAAAATTTAACGCAAAATTCTCACTTAAGCAAAATATCAAAAATTAATCTAAGCAAAATTCTTAACAGAATTCTAAATTTCGGCTTAGAATAATTACCACGTTTCGGGAATCTACAAGCAAGGAGACACTTTCGACAGTTGGGTCAAAGCTCCTTCCGATGTCCAATGCAAAATCCATCTATTCCCTTCTAACTTCAGCCCACAAAATTTATTTGGCCCATCACACACTTAATGCCATCACCAAGGCCTAAATCTATCACTATGGCCCAAATCCCTTCTCTTTTTATTTTTCTTTTTCATTTTCCTTTTCCCTTTTTCTTTCTCTTTCCTTATTTCTTTCCCCGTCATTTTTCTTCTTCACTTTCCCTCATCTCTTTCTTCTTTCTCAACATCAGTCCCCAATTCTTCTTCTTCACAAATCAAACGATCAACACCAAAAATCCAATTCTTGAACAAATTCGCTTTCTTCCTTTTTCCTTGTCACATTTCCAATTCTTCTTCTTCTTGCACATGCGTAGGGTTTTCGGCAACAGGGGGCGTCGGCGGTCGCTCACCGTGGTTACAAGCATCCTGGTCGCTCTAATTGGTCCTTGGGATGCGTAACAGCGCGACACCGGGGAGGAGGTCTACGGTTCTTTGTGAGCCTGCTATTTCGACGTCGGCGAGGTGCAATTGAAGCGATTCGAGGTGCCCCGTATGAGCGATCTAGAGATTCATCTGCGACGGCGTACTTCGAGCACACCGAAAAAAGGGCTCGCGAGGGTGGCTAGTCGCGGCTCGACGGTGGCTGGGACAAAATTCTTCGGCGGTGACTGTTCGCTACTGCCCGCGGCTGGCCCCCGGCGAGGCTGGCGAACGTCGACGGCTATGGGTTGATGCGATTGCGGTCGTTGGACAATCATTGCAACGAGGCCTGCTACTCGTCCATACGGGTTGCTGAGACGTCAGCGAGAAGGAAGACTCGCGACCTGGTGTCGGAGATGCTAGGGTGGCTCGGTAGTGGTTCTCGCGAGTTCTCGTCGACGGTAGAGGTGAAGGTTGCTCGTCGCTCGAACGCAGGCAGGGGTTCAGTGGCTCGGATGAGACATCGGTGGCTGACGGGGTCCTTCAGGCTTTGACAGTGGACGGTTAAGAGTCGTCTGCTCCAAGGGAAGTGACTCGAGGTATCGGCATTTGGTTTACTTGTTCTGATGTTTGAGTTGTATCCGGGTTGATTTTTCTGTGCCCAAGAATTCCTAATACGGCCCGATTTTGATGTATTTGAACGATTCATTCCCACTGATCTAAAAATCGGCCTAGGCGGTGCCCGGGCGCCTCCGATTTGTACAAATCGGCAAAAAATCGGCCAGGCGGCTAGGCGGCCCTAGGCGCTCCTAGGCGAGCTTGTCGGGCTCGGCGGCAAGGCGGTTAGGCGGCGTCTAGGCGGGCATAGGCAGGCTCGGCGGTAATTTTTCAGTTTTTTTTTTTATCTTTTATTTTTGTAAATACTAATTACATTATTTTGTTCTCATGTTTTCTTTAATATATATTAATATTATTATTTGGACTTTGGTGTGTGGATTTATTATAAATTGACATAGTTTTATTTTGTAGGTAATTAAAATAAATAGAAAATAGGGTATTTAATATTGATTTTTGGTCCCCGACAAGGCGCCGCCTAGGCCCCGACCACGCGCTCTAGGCGCTAGGCGCTAGTCGAGCGCCTAGCGGGCGCCTAACGACTATTAGAACACTGTTTACTCCTGATTTGGTTTGAATGTATATGTTGTAACTCTGGAATTTCTTTTGTTGGCTAAAACCGATTCTTCTGTAATCAAGTGTATTCGAGGAATTGTGTGGGTGATTATTCTTGGTGTAAATGAGGAGATGAAATTTTGCTGCTATGGTGAAGATGGATGGATAAGAGACCACTCACATCCGGTTCTTATGAAGAGGATGAGAGGTCCGATCGTGATAACAAATCTCACACAAAAATCGCAATGAAGTTTTGAAATGAGAATGAGTCGTGGAAGATTTTTCTTCTCTGCTCAATAATCTCACGTGCATCATAAATGAATGGGCCAAGAATAGTACTCTACAATTGGGCTTGATTAACTCAAAAAGTCCAAATCATAATTGGGCTGGAATTTAAATTGGCATAAAGGCTGAAATAATTCGCTATGGGCCGAAAATAAAATATACACGATAACAAGAATTCCTTATCGATTTGCTTGACGACGAATAACAAATAAAATTACACGACTTATTATATTAATTAGACTACATCTAATTAAATAATAATAAGTCTAAACGGGAAGATGTCGAGCAATAACACAATATAGACAATTTAATTATAATGCCAATAAATAATATTTGAAAAATCTAATATTCGAACGGGGCACTACAAGGACGACCTCTCGGCTGCTAACTCACCGCCGTTCACCATCAATGGTGCCGGATGCCACAACAGCGGCACCGATTACGGCAACCTTCTCCAGATGTATAGGCTCGTCGTCGACCGCCGGCGAGCAAGCTACGTTTCTACATCTCCGACACTCGCTAGCCGGCGCCGAAGGTACGACTCCCCTGCCCGCTGGATCTACGCGACACAAAATCGGCGAGCCTTCGCGTCACCATTCCACTAAAGGTGACTGGTTGGAGCCGTCGCCGCCAAGCACGGGGTGAGCCGAACAGCGCCTGTTTTTGGGCGGACGGGTGACTAATATGTTTGGCGTAGGTGGCGGATGGATTGATAGACATGAGATTGTCGGCAGGGTCTTGGTCGGGAAGAATTCAGTGAATTGTTACCGGCGACGAGATGAAGTGGAGGTCTTGGATTTGGCCGGAAAATCATTCAATTGAGGTGGGGTTGTCTTATGAAAATTTGATATTGTTTAGGGTCCTATACATAATTTATTGAAGTTTTATTATATTTCAATTTAGGTAAAGGATCAAATCTATAATTTAGAACAAATTATAAAAATAATATTCTTTTTTATAGATTTCTTGATACATATATATTAAAATATTAAATAAATATTAAATAAAAATATTATAAAACATTAAAATACTATTGAAAATATTGCACTTTAATGATGGACATATTGCACTTTTGTGTCATTGAGATTGCACTTTATCGTAGCAAATGTACCGACCGAAATGAATTGGAATGTACTATATATATATATACATATATATATATATATATATATATGTTGGTTCAGTTATTATTTTTTATTTTTTAAAATTTTTTAATTATTCAAGTTCAATATCAGATTTATTTATTTTTTAAATAACCAACTGAAAGAACTATATAAAAAATATTATTTTATTTCATATATTATGAATTTTTCAACAAAAAATTAATATAAATTATTAAATAAAAACATTAAATACTAAATATATTTTCTTACAATATAAACTATAAATTTTTTTGTTTATTTAGTTTAATTCGATTAACCGATCAAATAAATCAATTATTTCAGTTATGTTTTAGTTTAGATTGTGTCAAGTCGTTAAAAAATGCTTGCACTGCGAATGAACAGTTAGACAAATTGCACTTTAATGACTAAAACTTTGCACAACTGTGTTATAGGAATTGCACATTAGTGACCGAAACCAATTAAACTAAAATTTACAATTGTAAAACTTATATTTAGGCTCAATTATCTATTTTTATTTTTTAAAATATTGATCATTTCAGTTTGATATCAACTTTATTTTATTTAAATAATCAAAATAAACAAACCAACTGAACAATATAAAGAAAACAATTTTTATGTATAGAAATATTAATTATTTTCAGCCAAAGAATATAAAATATTAAATGTAAATATTAAAAATACTAAATATACTTTTATAATATAAATATAAAAATTATTTTTATTACTTGGATAGTCTTGTTAGTCGATCTAATAAAACGATTATTTCAGTTAAAATTTAGTTTGATTTGGAATAGATCATTAAAAATGTTTACAATGTAAGTGCACAATAGTGCCAGATAAATTGCACATTAATGACCATCAGATTACACATTAACGACCATCGGATTGCACCGAATCTGATCGAACTAAAATTTTCGATTCGAAATTTAATATTTAGTTTGATTATCTGTTTGTACATTTAAAATCGTTGTTATTTGAATTCGACGTCGCTTTATTTTTTAAAATAAACGTAATAACCCAACGACCGAACTTTATGAAAAAATACTATTATTTTTTTATTTATATTTTTTTAGTATTGCGAGTGCACATTAAGGTTATATGAATTGCACATTAATGTTACCAAAATGCACAATATCGAACGAGAACGAAATAAATTTTTTTGTTCAAATTTGTATATTTCGGTTGGATTAATATTTTTTAGTTTTTAAGAACTCAGTATTTCGGTACGATGTCATTTTTTTATTTAAATAATCGATTTCACGGAACATCAAATTTATATAAAAAACTTATTATTATTGTTTTATAAAAAAATATCATTTTATTTCAGCAAATAAAATATAAAAAGTATTAAAATACTAATTATGTTTCCATTAATTACAAACTTGACCCAAAGACCAAATTGTAATATATTAAAATTATAAATTGCAATAAAGCCCTTGAAATATGTTCAATTCCCAACAATCAATCCTTTAATCATCCTCTCACGCCTCCTGCAGATGTTCACCTAATCCCACACGCATCTGCTCTCTGGCGAGACACAGCCCGACAGCGGCGGTCTAAAGATTCGTACATTCTCCTATCTAATTTTGAATTAACAAATGAATTAATTTTGGGGTTAGGTTTCAGGTGCTCGTTAATTTGATAGACAATTTTCAATTGAGTATGCAGAGAAGACAAGTGGCGGGTGAGAGATCGAGCAGCATATCATATTCTTTCGAAGACAAAGTCAGATTGATGGTGGCTGCGGTGGCGGAAGGCAGTTGCGTCTAGGTGGTCAGGGCTGCGTCGGAGTGGTCAGAGTAGGTCGAGGACGTCAATGGAGGAGGTGGTTGCGACTGTGGCGGCATCCACTGGATCGTCAATGCATGCGTCGGCATTGGGACTGGTGGTCGGCCGGCGGCGGGCTGCGTCAATGTGGTCAGCGGAGGTCGGGGACGTTGATGGAGGAGGTTGATGCGACTGTGGTGTCAGCCACTGGAGGCTAGCTGTGGAGGCATGGCGGAGGCTGGAGGCTGTGGCCTGTGTGTGTGTGTGTGTCTCTGCAAAAACGTGAGAAGGAGGAAGATGGTGTATTAATGAGAGAAAATAGATATTTAAATGTTGAGTGGGTCCCTGTAACGCCCCACTTTATTTTGAAATACTTATCAAATTTATTTAATAAAAATCACAATAATTTTTTTTTTATTTTTTATTCAAACTTAAATTTTGTTTTAAAACTCAGTGGGCGCCACTAGCGTTCTTTAAATACCAAAGGTAGCATGCTCGAACATTAAATCGTAAACCTCACTAGCGTTCTTTAAATACCAAAACATAAGAGATAATTCACAACTCCCAAGTTCAAACGACATGGTCAATATCCAAATTTCGACATGAGTTCATAAACTAAGCGTAAGCAAAATTAAATAAGCAATAATAATAAACGTCATAACCACCACTCGTCATCTCGTCTCGTCACCGCCAACTGCTTAACCTGCGTCAGTTACGAGCAGGTGGGAGTGAGTACAGTTAACTATCGTACTCACACTATGCACATGAATAACTTATAAATGGTATGGTCGCAGCATGAACATAAACAATAAAATCATGTCACATCTCTAGCCACATCAATGACTATAGTCTCATCAAAGACTCACTCATGTACATCTATGCTCATCAAAGCTAAGCCATGCCATATCAGTGAAACATGGGAGTGCGTGCCACATCAATGACACGGCCTTCTCATAGGTCTTAATGAGATTTACCTCACTGGGTAACCGTATCTTATCATACGGGGACAACCGTATCGACGGCCATCAAGCTCACATCGATAGGCTACATGTTCATTTTCATACATAGATCACACCAAACTTTTATCACAATTTAAAATCACACATATGCATAGATAATTTAGAATAACCCACCTGGAAATTTCGTATTGATGATAGCAAATCAGAAAAGGTGAGGACTGAGGCTTGACTCCTCAAACACCTACATTA